TGACCGTCACATTATAACGTCCACCACGGCGGAAAGGGCGAGCATGTTCGGTGCTTGAGATGAAACGAGAGGTTCTCACACAGGTGTACAAACAGGATTTTTTAACAATGAGTTCATTTTCAATCCATCAGTTTCTGAATGATAGATTACCATTGATAAGAAAACCCACATAACAGTTATATTATAGATTAAAATATTTGAATTTTTAAAAGTTATTATATACGCAATATGAGATCTTTTTTGCAATATTTTTTTAAGATTAATTATTTTACGCATTTTTGACAAGTAAACCACGGTATTTTTCGTATCTTAAATAATATTTAAACATTATTATAAAAAAAAGAATTAAAAATAATTTACTGAAAATAAATCATAATTAATTTAGCCTACTGTGTAGCTTTGGTAACATGGAAAACAAGAAGTTATATTATTGTTACGACAGCGAAAGTCACACAACGCTGGAGTTTCTAGAAGGATCATGACTGTTCCTGGCAACTCTAGTCTTTTCTAGGCGCCCTCTATTTTAGTAATATAAGCCCGGCAAATAAAGCAGAGAGACAATTGCAAATAGACAGATAATCGAGTCAAGTGAGCGGTAGTGACCGCAAGTAAAGTGCGTGAATCGTTGTGAATTATAGCGTGTGTTTAAGTTAAAGCGACTGTAGAAATTCTGTGTGTTGCAAAGTTGTATTGAGAAAGAATAAACTAGTTTTATTTAAGAAAGGACTTGTATCGCTGAAGTTCCTCTGGAAGAATTTCTACGGGAAATTAACAAACAAGTAGATATCTTTAAACACGTAGGTTGAATGTTTGTATCAAACAGAAGAGCCTGATAAGATGTGGATTGAGCGAAACGCATCGTCGGTAGTGCATATGACAAATAATTGGAATACTGTTATTAAACCATTACCCAATTCCCTAAGGGAATTTAATGTTTAAAAATGTAACAGGGCTAATACTAATGTTTTATGAGAAGTATAATTATTTGAAGGATTGGGTGGATTACAGATTTTTTCTCTGATGCTTTTTTTTGTGCGGTGTGTCTTAATTTACCGTGACGTTTTTACTACTTTCAAACACGTGGAAGAAAACTTTGACTAAACGGAGAAAGAAGCGTTTTTTTAAACACGTGGTTAAACTTACTTGAAGATAATTAAAATACACTACTGATGATTACACGAGTTTAAATACTTCAAATTTCCAAGATTATACTGGACACAAGAACTGTCCAGTTAACATTCCCAACAGGAACTGAATCAAACACTGAACTACAACATAGAGGAAGTTTTAAACTAGAAATTCACCAGCTGTGACAACAGTGATAATTTAAAATTGGACCTTGATCTGATTCGAACCCTGGATTTTATCAGAGTTATATGAATAAGTTTTTAAACGTCACTGCTGCTTGAAATATTTTTGAAGATAAAAAGAAAAACTGTCTTGGACCAAATAAAGACTGGTGATTTTGGTTAGGCCACAAGAAAATAATCTTCAATAAAACACATTTTTCGTTAATTACACAAGTGTAAGCCAGGTGGCAGCAGTTGAGCACTCCTGTGCTTAATATATCTGTTATTTATTTAGTGTTCTGTGTACAATGAATCTTAATTTATAGAAAAATCTTCTTTCATCTATGTTGTAATAAGCAGATAATCCTGTATCGATTACTTTGTGCTCTGTGTATGATGGAGTGTAATCTATGGTGTAACTAACAGATAACCTTGTATGGACTAGGTTGTAAACAGGAAGTTCAATGTGATTTGGGTGTTATTACTTTGAATAGGTAAACAGGAAGTGGAGTGACTTGGGTGTTGCCATCGTTTTCAACGTGTAAACAGGAAGTGGAGTGTGACTTGGGTGTTCACACTGCTGTGCTACAGGAAGTGGAGTGTGACTTGAGTGTTCACACTGCTGTGCTACAGGAAGTGGAGTGTGACTTGAGTGTTCACACTGCTGTGCTACAGGAAGTGGAGTGTGACTTGGGTGTTCACACTGCTGTGCTACAGGAAGTGGAGTGTGACTTGAGTGTTCACACTGCTGTGCTATATTATTATTTTCAGATAACAAACCTGATCTTCTTTGAAACAGACATAACTCGATATATTTTAAAATTTAATCCCTTGTTAAAATATTAATAATAATTTAATCTTAGTGCTTTGAGTTATCTAAATAAACACATCAAGTATGAAAGACGTGAATATATTTTACTATTTTTTTTATTTCATAATTTCTTAAGACTAACGGCAAAATTTCGTAACGTTATTGAAGAACAGAAGACACGTCTAATTTACACCTTTATTTCTAAGTGTGTTGCGTTCGAAATATAAATTTTACATTTCTAATATTAAAGCTTTGATTTTTCTTTTTTCCATCAAAGAAAGAACCCTCTGGAAGAATGGAAATGACTAAGAAACCTGCCGCTTATGAACGACGTTATCATCATCTTGGTTGTTCAAAATGTACTCTATTATTAAGCAATTCCAGCTTCCCAAAGATGGCGCTTTTCTCAGCTCACCACCATCGTTTTAATTACAATGTTTGTCCTTCAAGACGCAGAAAGTTGTTACGTGTATTTTCATTAAATTTCATTTCGTCATCAACAGATTTATCTTGAAGGTTTTTTATCTGAATATGGACGGGTATCCTTTAATTTACAGTCAGAGCTAAATTTCACAGCTGTTTATTGGCAACCTGTCACATCCGATTCGAGTCGGATGTGACAGTATCGATATGTGGCCGGTAATATTCCACTATTTATGTCGGTTATTTTGAAAGCTTCTTTCATACGCAGGTGGAGTGTTTCGCTGTGATAAAAGATATAATAACACAACCAACAGAATATATTACTCGCTTTGTAATTCACTATACACCTGTATATAGGCTGACAGGATGAAAGCGTTGACGCATAAAATTAGGGCAACAGGTGAGTCGACTTCCATGGTTGTTAGTTTTCCTTCTGTTCATTGTGGGGAATTTTCCATCTGACTTGCTTCTTTTAGTCCGGTAGATATGTGCAACATAGTCACGGAATTGTGAGTTTATATGTACAAGCATGAAATTTGGCATAGTTCTAGACCATGGCCCAGAGAATGTTTTTAGAAATTGAGCCGTTGCGAAAAAAGGCCTAAGGTACCTTTGGCGGCCATTTTAAATAATGGCTTCCAAATATTTTGATGACGTTGGAAAATCGGCATTATATTACAACCAAGTGCATTTAAATGCTGCCATACACAAATATATAATTCAAAAACATGATCGTCGTTTATTTACTTTAAAAACAGTGCGCAACACATATCCAAAATTTCGGTAAAAAA